AATATTTAATCAGCAGAAGGCTGAGATCACATTGGGGCTTATATTTTATAGTTATATAATGTTATCCTTGTTACACTATAAAGGGCTTTATAAATATTTCATTTATTATTTTTATTTTATGTGTACGAGTGTATTGCCTTGCATGTATGTAAGTGTACCCATGTCATGAAATATCCGTGGAGGTCAGAAGAGAGTGTCCGATTCTTGGGAACTGGAGATATGAATGGTTGTTAGCCACCATGTGGGTGCTGGGAACTGAACCCTGGTCCTCTAGAAGAGCAGCCAGTGCTTGTAACCACTAAGCCAGTCCCATAAATTAATTTTTAATTTTATATTTTATTTATATTTATTTCCTTTATGTGTATGAGTGTCTTGCCTGCATGTATGTAAGTGCAGCTGTGTTGTGCAATGCACAGAGAGGTCAGAGAGGGAGGCAGATCCCTTTGTTATTGTTGTCATCATCATCTTTTTTTTTGGTCTTTTTGAGACAGAGTCTCCTTGTAGCTCCAGCTGTCCTGGAACTCACTATATAGTCCAGGCTGGCCTCGAACTCACAAATATCTGCCTGCCTCTGCCTCCTGACTGCTGAGACTAAAGGTGTGTTCCACCACACCCAGCTTATTCTTTTTATGTGTATGCATGTATTGCCTGCATGTGAGTAAGTGCATCCAAGTTGTACAATGCCTGAGGAGATAAGAAGAGGGCATCGGGATCCCCTGGAACTGGAGTTACAGATGGTTGTTAGCTACCATGTGAGTGCTGGGACTAGAACCTGGGTTCTCTGTAAAAGCAGCCAGTGCTCTTAACTGCTGAGCTATCTCTCTAGTCTCTGCTTTTTAATTTTAAATAAAACTAAAGTATAAAATAAAGTCAGACTGATTTCTGCTCTTTGGAGCTTTAAATCATTTGCTCATTGCTTATGAGCCATCTAGTAGTTAATGTGACACTAAAATATTATAAATATTCAGAAGACAGTCTTCTTTATTATTTGAGTAAAATTTTAGGGATTACATATATTTAACATTATTGTTTGATCATTACTCATTTTATTCCATTTTTATATTAATTTGGTTTGCCTTCTGATATTTCTAATTTGCTGTTACTTTTTTACTTTAAAAAAAGTCATTATTGTAATGAACTCAGAAACAAGAACATGTTGGTTAGAGCGGGTACCTTACTCTACCTGAGTGCTATGTTCATTTCTGAGTTTATTATAATGAAGTGATTTTTACTTCTAATTAGCCTTTAGAAAGCTGGGATGGTATAGTATTGAAGGACACACATCTGTTTTCTCTAAACGTAAGGATTTGTTGCTTTAACAATAACACTATCATGACTACAGAGGCATAATATTAAAAACTTACAGGTCTTATTTATTTATCACTGATCTTCTATTCCTTCTTGCTTCCACTGGAGTCATCCTAGGAGTCCTAATCTGCCATAGCCACTAGTGTTTTTATGTAGGAAAGCAGAGTTTCTTTGTTCTTTTTGATAACTAGTTAACAAATTCAGATGATGACAAGAAAGTCACAAGTCTGTGCAATGTGCATGATTCAGGATACTTTGATTAAGCATTAAATAGAGACAGTAAATCAAGCTTCCCTCTGAGCTTCTACCTATGTACGCATGCCAAATCAGGAAATGGCTGCTTCTTCTTCCAGAGTGGTAGAATAGAAATATATATTACAATGATTATTTTTAAATGTCTTTGGTAAATCCCATTGCATGTTAGAAAATACAAATTTGCAGAACTTTTATAAATAACAGTGTAATCAAAATTCATGTCTTATGCTAAATATAAATCTAGTCTAGTAGAGTCAATGCAACTGTCATATGAGAGAGGAACAAGTAGTTCCAAGAAAAGGAAGAAAGCAATATTTCCCCTACAATGATAGAACTAGGTAAGAAAAGTCAGTCATATTAGCACTAATTGAAAAATCTGAGGCTAGGTCCTGGAGAGATGACTCAGTGCTTAAGAGCACTGGCTGCTCTTACAGAGGACCCGGGTATAATTCCCAGCACCCACATGGTGGCTAACAACTGTCTGTAACTCCAGTTCCAGGAGGCTTCGATCAGCTCTTCTGACCTCCATGGTCATTGCAAGACACAAGTGTACTTACATGCATGCAGGCAATACACTCATACACAAAAAAATAAAATAAAAATAAAAATCTGAGGCTAAATGCATAACTGTGTTAACAGACCTTTTTGGCTCTATTGCCAAATGTCAAGAAACTTTCATAATACTTTAACTCCACTGACCCTCAAGCATGCTGACTATTGACTTCAATTTTGCAATGAAACCTGGCCTTCTTAAAGAACTGTTGAACCCTGAAATGAGCCAAAAAATTTCAAGAAAAACTCAGCATACCATGTCAGAATGTAAAGCCTTTCTAGGGTTATTTAGGGTTGCCTAAAAAATACAGGAACTTGTACTGAGGGATACTCTAAGTTGACTTGATAGGCCTTAACATATATGACAGAATGCATGAAACCTGGTTGGGGTGCTATGAGAGGGTATGGATAGGGGAGGAGGTATAAAGGTGATTAAGATATTTTGTATGAAATATGCAAAAATTCAATTAAAATTATACAAAAAATGTAGGTTTAACTAAAGGTACTTAAACTCTCATAGACTGTGATATTGAGCTGGCAATATCAGTGGGTCAAGTGTTTGCCACACAAACATGAGAACTTGAATTTGAATCCCCAGGACACATGTAAAACTAGACGTGATAACTCACATATCTGTAACCCCAACTCCCTAACAAGAAGAAGGGAGGGGAGGCAGGAGAGTCTCAACAAGCCAGCAGCCAGCGAGCCTGCCATATGCAGTGAAACAAGCAAGGGACTCTATCTCAAACAAGGTAGAAGGTGAGGACCAACACCTGAGGCCATCTTCTGACCTCCACATGCATGTTTTGGGTAATGAGCACCCACATTTACACACAAGAAAGCACTGGTGCCGCGCCCGCACACACACACACACACACACACACACACACACACACACACACACACACACACCAGAAAAATTAAATCATTTTTAGAATAATAAAAATAAACAAAACCAAGCTCTGGTACTTTGAGCATAAAGAATAATCAGCACTGGTACATGAAAGTGCTTAGTATAGACTTTTGCAAGGAAGCTCTGAATTATAACTTCACTGAGACTGAATTTCTCTGTAACATAAACATATGATCCATAGTGTGAAGGGTCATATGTTGTCAAGGAAACAACTGGGGAAGGACTGAATTAATCTGAAGGGTAATTTCTAAGACAATATTTTACAAAGAACTAAAATTTTGTACAAATAAGTTATGGGAACAATTTTATGACTATAATCATCATTTCTCTTATGTCTTTCTTTCTTTTTTGTCATTGGAGACAGGGTCTCCCTGTAGCCCTAGCTAACCTGGAACTCACTATGCAGACCAGGCTGGCCTTGATCTAATAGAGATCCACCAGCCTCTGCCTCTTGAGTGCTGGGATTAAAGGTGTGCACCACCATGCCCTGCCAAACTCTTGTGTTTCTTATAAGACATTGTAATAGAATGAACTATAGAAAGCCATGTGTGAAACTAAATGATGAGGACATGAATGTTGAAGCAGAGACTCCAGCAAGAGAGCTGCCCTTTCAGTTCGCCATAACACAGGGTTGAGAAAAACTGCTTTAGAAGATAATAAGGAGTTTGAACCACAGGTCTAACATCCATCGCCACACAGTTGTCATGGTAACCCCACCATAAAATCAAGATTATACCACTTTGGTGTGTTATTGGGAATATTAAATAAAATTGTGTTTGTAGGGCTTATCCCATTGGCTGTCACTGATGATATCATCAACAGCTTATTAGTACTGCCTTCACCAGTTGTGTGGACCTCTGTGGAATAGGTTGTAAACACCTCTAGTTCTTAATGAAATGACAGTACTAGACTCAGTAGGTGGTCGCTAGCAGCAGACTCATTGAGTTATACAAGAAGAATCATTCCACTTTAAATGGCCTCCACGAATGACCTTCAGCAAGTACTGAAGCATGATAACTTCCTCTGACATCCACTTCTAAACTCAAACAACAGGCAGAACTGGGAGCAGAAAGGAATGGCCTGTGTGTGCAGCCCCGACGGCTGCGTGTGCAGTCCAAACCTGACACCTTGGCTGCTGATTTTCTGTCATGATTTCCTGAAAGAAAAGAATTAAGTTTTGACCAATTCACTTCAGAGCTGTGCACAGGAATCCTTCAGTAAACACTTTCTGAGTGTGGTGGGAAAGGTGGTGATGATGTTCATTCTTCAGGTAGCCTTCTACTACCTAGTATGTCATTTGTGTCCAGGTAACCATTGTTTAAACGAAGATATCAGACTGTGGTTGAACACTTGTCGAGCAAGTGTGAAGGTTCCATACCCAGCACCACAAACAAAACAAAACCTAATTAGGACATCATTGGTATCTCCATCTAGTTTTCCTATCTTTCCCTTATCTACTCAATCAGTAGTTCTCAAACATTTGTGTACATCTGAATAGCTTATTAAAACCCACCTTTCTGACTCACACCTCTAGTTTCTGTTTCAGGAGAACTGGGGTGGAACCCAAGCACTTCCATTTCTAACAGGTTTTCTAGGCAAGAATGATGCTGTTTCTCTGAGGAAAACACTTTAAGAATCAGTATATTAAGGAAAAATATCAGAGATATAGTTCTATGGTTATTCCTGTTGCTTCTTGGCTCTGAAACAAGGAATAGGGTGAAGCTCTGTGGTAGAGTATGTGCTTAGCATATGAGTAGCCCTCAGCTTGATCTTCAGGGGAAAAAATGAAAAAGGAAACAGTACTATAAATTATGTATATTATTTATTCCTGAAAGGAATTCATAGAAATGTGTGACTATGTGACACCTCTTGTTCACACAATACTCACAATTGATATAGGCATCATAACAATGAAATAGTCTCTTGGAGAAAATAATTTGCTACTATAAATGTTGCAGAAACCAAGACTGACCTTGTCAATTTGCCGTGCACAGTCACCTCGAGCACCCAAACGAACCAGGGTCAGAGCAGTGAAGATGCTCAAAGAAGAGAAGAATACGTTGCCATTTCCTTGACTGCTGTCCATCTCTCTGAATAAATCGAAGCCAAATTCTGCATTTGCTGCAGCAAGGGAGGCCATTGTGAAACTGAGTGCTGTCTAGAGGCCAACAGAATGTTAAATTAGCTCAGTGAATGTTAGGTTTCATAGTCATATTTTTAACTGAAAGCTTCATTTCTTCACCCTTGTATGAAATCATCAAATAAAATAAACCAGAAAGAGAAGATTCCTCCATATCCTTGTTTCTAATACTCTAAAATTCATTTGTTTACAATATTGGAAACAATCATTTTTCTCATCCTGATATTTCAGCAAGGCAATGCTCTCCTATTCATATCCAGGGCATAGTCTTTGTTTTCCCTAATGGGGCAGTCTCTCCTCAGTGGCTCTTGGTGGCATCCATTTTCAAGCCCCCCGAGCTTTTCATGGGGTTTACTAATTCTCAAATAACCTCTGATTTCTAAACTGAGGTAGAACAAAGTTATCATTGCAAGTAAGTATGACATCGTATAGACTATTCCACATGCTGTAGCCCTTGTTTCGTAAACCATCTTTGCTTTTATCACATCATTTCCTTCCATTCTCTCCATTATGGTCTTCATACATATCCTTAGAGTCATCATTCATCAGAATTCTTCAGGATAATTTCAACTTCAAATACAGTTCATATGGTATTTAGCCTTTGAAAGATCACTGCCTGACTCTTTTAATAGTAAATATAATTATTGTTTTATATATATATATATATTATAAAGATACCAAAGACTTTCTAATACACTGGTCTAGCTTTTGCTAGAAAGACTAGTTAAGCTACAGTAGTAAATTTGGAATCAAGTATGAAAATTATTTTTGAATTCTGAATAGCATTGTTTCCTCGATACAGAGTACAACACAAGCATGGAAGTCCACAGCGATGCACTTCGGTATTCCTTTGCAGACTTTCCCCACAATTCAGTGATTCCAATATCAAAGGTGGGACTGACTCAGATTAATGAATTTGCATGGATGCTCCAAACCATTCTTAAATACTCTGTAGTATCACATCTGACAGCATGACGGCTGCAAACACTCAGGAGGCCCAGCCACTTTGTTAACACTGTTGCTAATTGTTACATAACCTGGATCAAGTTTTAAGTTTTTCTGAGCTAATTTTCAACCTATTCAATGGGATTTGCTTTTTATAATATTTAGCATAGCAATGCTCAACAAAAAAATCACCCATGCCTCTACCTTTCACCCCATAAGGAGAGAAAATTTTATATCAGGCATCTGGTGGGGAGCATGGTGTGGGAGAGGAAGACTATTTCTAGGAGGAAGATATATGCAGCCCAAAGGAATGTTCTAAAACTGCCATTGCATTGACAGTGGATGCAGGCACAAATAACTAAAGGCTTTTAAAGTTTTAAAGTTACAAATGAGATGAAAGGCTTTCATTCTTCTTCAAATGAAAGCTTAAGGCTTGAAAAATTAAGAAACAACTATTCTCATAGTAGGCATAAATTGAGGCTGCTACATTTGCTGCTCTCTGTGAAATGTTAATAATCTATTCTGTCCTAAAAGACAAAACATCAGATATTTCCTGAAAGAGTATTACTAAGGAATTCATACTCTGCAGTTTAGAATTCTAAACCAAAGAACATCACTGTGTCATGAGACCACAGATGCTGATTTTGGGGGGTTAATTTAACTATTTGCAATTCATTGTAAGTCTCATTCCTCAGTTACATTCCAGAAACACAAGATAAGAAAATCAGCCACACTATACACACACACACACACACACACACACACACACACACACACACACACACACACACTTTATTCCAAGAAAGAATATCTATGCTGTTTTGAAACTTCTTTAGGGAAGGAAGGAAAAAGGAAAAAGTTATTTAGGGCTCTGAGTGTTCCCCAGTGGCCAACACTGCATAAGTCCCTGTGTTCTCTAGCAATGCCAAAAATAAATATAAAGTAATGTTATCCAATTTCATATCTAATCCAGGAAAAGGAACCCTGGAGACTGTCATCAGCACTGCAAGTAGAAGTTTGTAGTCAAGAAGAGGAAGAATAACGTAATTCAGGGCTCTGAGAGGAGCTTGGTAGTGGCCAGTCAGCTGAATGAACCAAATTAGTAAACATGCAACGTATGAAAAGGAAACATGCAATGATTTTTACCTAGAATTTAATAGTCATAAAGTATTTCACTATTTCTACAAGGAAATTGTATGCTAGATACTCTCTTTCAAAGAATTTTCACTGCCTTCTGAAGCTCATTGGCAGTGCAAATGAAATTAATCACTCTTGGAAACTAACTTCAAAGCAAAAGCAGACTAATCCCTCCTAAATATTTACAGGGAAATTATATTTAATAGAGGATTATGGGTCCATTTTAACACATGTACCCCACAGGGTAGAGCTACTAAAATGAGACCTGAAGGATTTCCAGACAACTCTGTAGGGAGATCTGGTAGCACAGGCCAGTGCACCTATAAGTTGCCTGGTAGTTACATTGCAAATTGCAAAAGCACACTTTACTGTATATTTTTCTCTGATCAAGCTCTAATTTATGTTGATGATATACATACATATCTTATTGCTTTATCCCTTTAGGTGAAAAAAATAGGAACTGAATTTTCAACATTTTGCCTTTTTAATTACTTCAAACAATAATCAAAATCCTTCATTTTCTAAACTTTTAGTCATCATGGCTACTTTCCACAAAATTGTTATCATTTCAAATAAAAGAAAACCTACACAGAAATGTGTTTATTGGAGAGATGGCGCGCCTAATTTCACAGGATAAGATAGATTTCACAGCACACAAATAAATTTGATTAAAAATCATTATAGAATAATATGTGAGCCAAGACATTTCTAGACAATTATAAATTTGGAATTTGGAAACCTTGATTTTTTAGAATAAAGGATAGCACTAAATATTATTTATTTAATCACTCATACACACAGGTTCACACATGTTGTGAACAAATTTCAAAAAGTATGTTCCACTGCACGTAATTGATTTTATGAACTTTCTCTACACAGATATTCTGCAGGTTCTTGAAATGAAAGGAAGAGTCTCTCCTCAGTCTGCATTCCTTTGATGGACAACTCCGTTTAAGGCTGATTTAATGATTCTATGCCCCAAAGTTCTACCCAGTGAAAGGAGTAAAAATTAGCATAGGAAATAATTTTCCTTTCTCCCACAATTACTTTCAGAGCAACTTAAAAATAAATAAGTAAAATACTAACAAAACTGAACTAAATTCAAAAGGCAACAATTAAGCATTAAATGGTTTGCTCAGTAACGTAACTCAGACAACTGAAAAGGAAAACAGACTAGGTTAAAACTGCAGAAGGCGTCACCGTGGTATTATTTATTATCCAGTATGTGTCTGTTCAGGTAGTGTAAGGATGGAAGATTCTTTTCAATCATAAAAGAATCTGTCTGCAGAAAAGAGAATAAGTTTTTATTTTACCCCAAAATACCATATTCTTATGCTTCTTGGATGGATATGTTAGCTTAGTATACGAGTATAGTTTTAAAGTTAATACAAATTATAAAATTCCTGTGAAAGTTCTTAAATCCCAAACCAGACTAAAAACCCATAGCCATATGAAGTCTATTTGGTTACCTGTGGAATGTTTGAACACAAACAACTTTTTTACCCTTTCCTTTCCGTTCTAAACTTTATTTGTATCTGTGTCTATGAAACAAAAAGATTTCACCAAAGCTTGCTTTGTTTTAAAATTCTAACTAAAAAACAAGAAAAATAATTTTTAAATTTAAACATGAGAAAATCCAGACACAAAACACACTCAATAAAACATGATTAATAGTATGTCTAGTTCATGGACTTATATTAACATAGAATTGATAACTGCTTGGTAAAACCATATCTAATCTTAAGAGAATTTTGAATACACAAAGAGAACTAATCAGTTAATTTTAAAAAGTTTTTATAACAAAATTAAAATTACATATTAAAATACAATAATGATTGAACATGTTTAATATTTCTTATCAATAAGCCAAATATGATATTACAAGGTAATTGCTACTCTTTAGAAGTTTTTTCAACTCTTCTTATTTATTTTACAGAATTTCAAACTTTGATAAATCTCTGATTAGATGAGTATTTAATGTCATAATTCAAACAACCTAATTCCATTTTAAAGAATGAGTATATCCAACATACAATGACATAAGTAAAGCACAGGAAAAACAGGATCTGGACTGATATATAATTCCTTATTTATTCAAATATAGAACATAACCTCTTTCACTGATAGCTGATCACCCACAGTGTGGTGTGCACCATTCTCCATGACACCAGTTAAAGTCAATCAGTAGCAAGCCATAAGACAGAGAACTGAAGACAATGTTGATAGCTCAATGCGTTTACCGTCCCCAAAACAGAGAATTAGCCACGATTCACTCATTTCTTCCTCTCTCTCTCTTTCTCTCTCTCTCTCCCTCTCACTCTCTCTCACTCTCTTTCTGGACTTTAAGCTGTGGACACTGAAGCATTTACCTTACTGTCTTCATAGAGGAAGCTGCAGCTGGTTGGGTGCGTCTGGAAGAGTTCCCTGCATTACTCTGAAATATAAAGGGCTCTGACTCAGACACTCCCTGTTTTCTTTTGTGATTTAATCATCATAGTTTAAAATTATTCCACTGAAATTAATTTATACTCAGACCCTTTATAAAGTGAATTAGAGAAAATTTGTGAGTTTGACCTATGACTTCAACACAAAGTAGTCAAAACTCATATTTTCTCTTGAAGTTGCATTTCTTTCATACTCCTATCACATGGGATTTCTCAAAACTACATGTAAATAGCATTTTTTTCACATATGGAAATTCAATTACTGATCTGTGATATTGCTGATTGTTTTATTCCTTCCCCTTCAATTTAATATACAACAAGAAATATGGCAAAACTCTTTCTTGGAGGAATTGTGTTCTAGCATCTGTAAGCTGGAGCTTGGGGAATACAGTGAGATTCTTTCAGGAAGAACAGGGTTATAATTCAGTTAGCACTTCTGGGTTCTTATACACTATTCCTGTTATTTCAGCATTG